CTTTGGTACATTCTGTTTGGATGCCATAACATTCAAGATGTCTGATTTGCTATACTGACATTAAAATGACCATTGAATCTGCATTGGACTCAAAACCTGAATCTACATGTGAGTGTGGATTTGAACTGAAGAGAGCACTGGTCGTAGAATTAGGCAACCTATTATTGCTTTATTTTATGTTTGAGAATGATGCATGAAAAGAAAAACAATAGTGGCTCATCAAAACACATTGTCACACCAAGTAACTTCACAGTATTTCACAAAAAAAGACAGACATGGTAACTTACAGATATAAAAATTAACACTACACATCATTTACACAAAAAGTGACGGCTGTATAATACATTTCTACTTTAAAAGTGTCAACCATAAATGCCCTATGATCTCATACAAATGCTACAAAAAAGTAAGAGAACATTTATGAAATCTAGGATGTGTTATTGTAAAGGTCACATATATGGGAAATGTGCTCCTCAGCTAAACATAGAGCAGCTAGACTCTGCTGGTCACAGATGACACAGACATGATTAATGAGCAACATGTATGTACTGTGAGCGTATATGCACGGCTACACTGATGCATGTGGACAACACAGACCTTACATTCAACGTCACATTTGTTTCGATAACATCAAAACACTCTATAAAAAAACTACATACTTTGAAACGCCTCCAGTGTGGAACTGATTGCAGTGTCCTGATAACTGGATCTGACTAAAGCCATGGTGGCCTGGAAATATTCCCGTGTCATACTGTATGCAGTAAGCTTATACATCTAAAGGTGTAACAAACTGATCACCCACTTATATCATGTATTTGTTAATGTGCAAGTATGATCTGGAAATAAGAGCAGCTGTCAGGGTTTTATTTTCAGCAGTTTCCCCTCATAATCACCTACCACTCCCAAAGTGACAAGTGCAAACAGACTGTGCACGGTTATTTGGACATACAAGGATTCTGTGGTTACAACAGTCTGAATATTCAAAAAAAGATTTATTCACATTACAGGATTGTATTTAAAAAAATCTGCACCATCTAATAAAAGGAGACTGAAAAAATAGAAAATGAGTTCTAGAAAAGTGCAAACAACAACTGTGTTGAATCAGACCAAGTGCTATCATCAAACCCTTTGTCACCGTGAGTACAATGAAAACATGATAATGCCCTGCCTGGTGCTTTTGCATTTGTGTGAAGTTTGCTCTAATAAGGTATTAAACTAATAAACCTGGTGTTATAATGGCTACATGCTCTAAAGCAGAACCTAAAAAAAAATACAAAAACACAAAAATCAAGTTCAGAACATTTCACAGTGTAGTTCAGTTTTCAGTCGAACTGTTGTGACAAATAAAAAGCTACATGAACAGTTCGTGATCAACATAAGACTAATAACCTCAGTGGGAACAAAAATAAGTTATATTTTTTAGAAAACATGCTGTTGTTGTTAATTTAAAATCCTATAATAATACAACTTTAAAATCAGCTTCACACTGCATATCAGATTTGTACAATTAATTTCCTTCATAAAAATGTCTTACTTGTCAGCTTGTAAAGGTGAGGAAATTATCCTGTAAATCAAAACATCAGACAGGTTTACATCTTTGTATTGCTGGTTCAAAATGGGGTCAGTTCATCCGAACAGGTTGGACAGCGGTCGGGCTCGGAGAGGACTGCTGCCGAGCTCCTCTCCTCTTCCCACTTCCCCTGTGTCCCTGAAGGAGGCGCTGTGGATGATCTGGGCTCGGTGGCGTCCTCGGTGTAGCCGAGCATTCAGCCGGCTCAGAGATGACTTCCTTTGCACGCCCCCCTTAGTCTTCCCATTCCCGACCGCCTCCTCTGCCACCTCAGCTGGTGGATTCAGCAGCCGCAGTGGGTTGAGATTGCCCTGGAGGACTCTGGGAAACCTCCAGCCACGTCCTCCACCACCGCTGGCATTTGTACTTTCGCTGTCTGACTCAGCTCCTGGCGAGGTGACCACTCCCTCCTCCCGCAGGTGGGCAGCCAGCGGTGGAGGGAGGTACTGGATCGCTCGCTTTCCGCTGTAGTCACGAGCCTCGGGGTCCGCCTCCCAGTCTGACAGCAACACACGAACCACCTGCCAGTCACAGCACATCACATATGTACAAACTTGAGTGAGACCTGGTTTCATGTTCATTTAAGCAGAATTTAGTGGAGCTCTGATAATAACACTGTTTATCTGTGAATGTAAGCTGAAAAATATATGAACCTGAGACAAGTCAACATTAGGATACTAATCGTCTTTACTTCTGCCTTGATCAGTCACCTGTTACTCCTGTCTTTGCATGTTTTATTATGTGTGTGTATTTATATGTTACCTATTTCATTGCACTCTTAAATATAACAATGTGTATAGTGTAGCCACACTACAGGAAGTCACAACATATGATATATTTACCTTGGTCAATCATTCTCAGTGGTATATCAGCCAAAATACAGCTGTTTTTCCTTGTATTTCTGCATCTAGATTCAATTTGTTTACCTTAGTGTACATTTGTCCCATGTTTGGATCCCAAGAGTTTAGACAGCTGACAGAGTTTTGGTATGTTACCTCCTGCCACTGTGGCAAAGGCATAGGATTTCACTTTAACAGTTCATGCGAGGTAAAAGGTTTCACCTTCTTTCCTTCCATCTATTGTTTCCTGTGACCACAGCACAACCAGCACATGTTCCTTTTAAATCCCCATCTTTGTCAATTACCAGACAAGGTTTCTGTGTATTCAGTATTCATCCTTTTTTTTTGTAAACAATTTAAATATCCAGGGAAACATTTAGAGACACATTCGAAGGCAGGTGGTGAAAGATTTCAGACTGTCAATCTCATCAAAATATCAATGATTCAGATTCAAACTATTCCACTCATTTCTTTGTTCATACACATTAAACTAGTTCAGGCTCTTTCCAGCATGTTTACTATATTTTGAAGAAGGCCTGGGCAGACAAAGCACTTGTAATTATCTGCTGTTTCACTGTGCAGATGACAAGCCAATACCAACCCACCTGCGTGTGTCCATGCATAGCTGCCAGGTGTAGTGGTGTGTATCCAGCACTTGATCTCACATTTACATTCACAGGAATTGTGTTCTCCTTGGCGAAGGCCAACAGCTGGGAGAGCAGCTCAGCTTTGCCCTGCTTAGCTGCCCAGTGGAGGCAGGTAAAGCCAGTCACAAAGTCTCTTTTGGTCACTAGGCTAGGCTCGACAGCTAGCAGGGACTGCAGGCGTTCCCACAGGCCATCTGAGGCGCACAGCATCCACTCATGCTCCAGTGGGTCCAGGGTCACTGAAGCACAGTCCTCATCAGTGGCTGAGGAGAGGAGCGATGCTGAATCACCATCGCCCTTCACCGAGTCCCAGAGGCGTGAGCCACGACTGATTAGAGACCTACGAACCTGCAAACAGAAGAGCATGAGAGTGTAAGAGGAGCATACAGTACATTTCTAAGTATAATACAGTGGTTCTTCAAAAAAGGTATTTACCAATACCCTGCTCAAATGGTTCTCAGCTGCACTTTAAGTAACTGCTTCAGAACACTTAAAATAATTCACATTTAAAGAACCATACATGTTGACTAAAGACAAGTCAAGCCTGATACTGGAGTACTGGGCAACGCTGTTCACAATAAAGCTAATGTACATATACTGTATAAGGATGTCTTTGGCCATAAACAAATGACTTTTAAAAGCTTGTCGGTTTTGTTGTTTGTTTTCTGATGATGACAACTAAAAGAACATACAGAAAGTCAACCTATGTAAGGGTTATGGCGGGATTGGTTACATAGCTGTGTGCCATTCAGGAGCACACCCAAATATGAAACACCTGTCATGACACTGCTTTAGGTGTGGCCACAAGCACAACGTGATCTGAAACGAGTGAAAGCAGTGCAGCACTATTTTCTCTGTTCCATCTGATATTTTTTTAGAGGTCGAAGTTCATTTTTATAAACAGCCTTCTTCACAAGCTTGTTACTTGTTTTATCTGCTTTGCACTGTAGAGAACTTAGTAAAACTGCCATACAAATAAAATTATGACTGATAACAATAATCTGCTTTGAAATTTTTTGTCAGAGAATCACAGTATCCTACCTGTGGAGACCTATTCATCATCAGCTCTATGAAGTTCCTACGACTTCCCTTGGGCGTGTTGATATCTCCAGAAGGGTCCAGGGCCTCCAAGGCACTGTCTTCAGATAGGCAGCTGGTCAGAATGGCCCGCTGGGACCCCTTGGACACTCTGCGTGCCCCTCTCACCTGTTGGCTGTGAGACCCTCCTGGGTGAGCCTGGTCCAGATCTGGTATCCCAATAACTGGGGCTGACTCGCGCCTCCTCCTATCCCTCAGGTTCACCTCCCCTTCTCCAACAGATGTAGGAGTCCCTGTGTTGGTCTGGGAGGGGGCTGCAGGTTGCTCCTTGCCATTTGACTGTTTGTCATTGTCCAAGCTGGCAGACAGAGGGCTGGATACTCCTGTGAAACCATGGAACATGTTTTTATTAGTCACTGTACTGTCATCCAACTGCAGAATTTAATAAGTTATTGGATAAAATTGACATGATCTCCAGCATATCCTGCACAGATATACAAAAATATAGTCATCATTATTTTTGCATTGTTGTAGAAATAATAAAAAAAATAAATAAAAATATTTTTGGCATTAAAGTCACAGTTTTAAAGGTCTTGATCATGAGATGATGGCATCTACAGCCCAATTCCGCACACCAGGTATTGAAAAGCGATGGCGAACCCATAGTACTTGATGGTGTTATGAAAGGCCCTACTATTTAGCAGGCTAACGAGAAAATTACACAATATATAGGTTAGATGTGAAAAGACATAGATAAAACACAATATAATCAACACAACAGGTCAATCCTTCACCTGTTTGGTCTCCGTTGTCAGGGTTGCCGTTGACACAGTTGTTGTCCAGTGTCTCCTGGATATTACCGTTGCACTCCAAATTACTGTGGCCATCTGCGTCCGTACGCATCACGGTCTCTGCGCCGCCTTCCGTATTTAAACACACAAATTTAACACCGTTTTCCACCTTTACAAAACCCACAATGTCCACGGTGTGTTCCAGCACCTCACGATCCACCCTTTCTTTTGACTGGTCATCACCCCCCAACGCTGATAGGAAATGATCGATCAGCTCCATCTGTTGGACCCTCCCTCCTCTCTCCGTGAGGAATTCTTGCACGGCTTGCTCCGTGCGCTGGGACGACATCATCGTGGATGGCCTAAACTGAGCGCAAAGTTAAAACTCAGTTACACAAGAATGTTTCAAAATGACTGTTTTCACGTTCTTGCCATTCGTGAGCGACAGCATCTTCGGTCGGACTGCTTCTCTCCTCCACGGGGAAGACCATTGTCAAGCTTTGGCAGACAGGGGTCGCACGTCTCCGAAACTGGCAACTCACCATGTTGCGTTTCCGTGCGCTTCGTAAACCCAAGCTGCCCCTTGTAAAATCAACCACGTAGGCCTATTGAAAGTATACTCATGGAATTTAAAAATGCGCCACCTTTATTGTGTGTGTTTTTAAAGTCCATGAGTATAGTTTTTGTGAATGTGAGCGAGAAAGAAGTGGAAATATACTTGGCCCCGAAGAATTAACTGATTTAGCCATGTAATAGTTAACTAAACCCCGTGATAGTTTAACAAGACATGCAATCTTTTTGGTCAGTGCCAGACTGCATACGATCAACACACAACACAAATGCGCCAAAGTCCATATAAAGTGAAAAGGTAGCGTATAAAATAATTCTTAGAATGCGATGTAATGATAGGCATCTTTTTTACCCTAAAATCTGAGTGAGCAAATGTTGATATATTTTTCTGCCAAAACGGATTAAACAGGCAAACCAACGCACCTTTCAAAAATATTGTCAAAACTCTTTACTTTTATGTCTTTATAGTCAAAACTAATGTATGAAACCGTTAATGATCTGTTTAAGTTTTTGACGATATTCGGCGTACCGTTTAAGGGGACTGGTAAAATGAAGTTGCGCTGTACCATTATACAAAGAAGGGGGCCCTTTTTATTAATGCAATAAATTATTGTTTGACTACAAATCCATGCAACTGTATTATATTATATCCTTTAATGACAATGTAATTTATTTGAATTCCCGTGATATATTACCCTAATTTAAAATCTTAAAGCAAATTTATAAACGAAGAATTCCCGTCATTCCTACATTGTTTTGATTGGTCTAGTCCGTCCAGTTGTCAATGATAGACGTAGTGAGGCGTTCCTGAAAAGGAGACAATCATCAAGGAGTTAGTTTTTAGTGAATTTTATTGTAATATTTCTGAATCCATCTGGGATATCAACTTTTCTCTAAAACTATGGCTTCTTCGGATGTGGCTCGGGAGCCGGTTAGTATTTTCCCTTTTTGTGAGCTATATTGAGTGTGTTCTTAACAGTGGAGCAGGGAGTGTCCGGCGAGGCTATCATTAGGTTAGCTGCCGCTAGCTTGATGTCCTAAGCTAATGCTAACAGCTAGTTTTTATTTTACAGTTCAAATTAAAATCTAGTTGTGGAAACGCTGTTACAATGTAGCCTACAGCACAACAGCACACCTGCCCTTCACCTCGATATGTATATATATCAAAATCATCAAATTAAACTTCAGTTTTGAACTTTTATAAGTGAATTCCCTTATTACATCTTTAACAAAATACACAGCGGAGAGGGCACTCGCTTTTTAAAACTATGCTAGCCGTTCATCCATAAAACGTTTATAAGAACGGCTGTGTGCTCACTCATGCATTACCTTTATCCATACAAAAGTTGCTAAGTAAGTTTTTCATCACCATGTTCAGTTAGAAAATTATGTAGGGTACACTAACTATGCTCGAAATGTGCCCCATAATTGCTAACTTTTTGAATGAAAACAGGCAGTCACACATTCCAAACAAGATATTTAACCAGAAATAAACAAGCTGTTAAAACTTATATGAACATTTTTTGTTTCCCACACATACAGTACAGAGTACATTATCCAGAAGTTGAAGGGGTATCACGATGATTTTCCTTAACAATAGCAATATGCAATTTACCACACTATACGTAATTAGTGTTAGTTCTCTGCCTGTCTAACCCATACAGGTTGATATTAATTAATTGCATTTAATACATGAAGCTACTTTATCAGCTGCATTTACATTTACCTCCTACAACAAAACTCAGTGGAGTTAAGTGGACAAATGATAAAAAATGCATGTTCTTTCTTAGGGTGATGCTTATTATTTTTTGAAAATGGCTACAATATCTGGGGAATGATTTGCTTGTTTGTGTGATTTCTTCCTTAGGATAAAGGAGTCCGACCCCTCTCTCTGGCAGGCCATGTGGGATTTGACAGTCTCCCAGATCAGCTTGTCAACAAGTCCACCTGCCAAGGCTTCTGCTTCAATATTCTCTGCATTGGTACAGTCATAACAGTGTCTTCATTCACTTTGAGCAACATGCCCACACAAACATGTAGTTTTACCTGGTGATCTCAGGACATTTAACCTACATTCTATTAAATGCATTTTGAGCTTTTGCTGTCCACTAGCTAGATGTCATAAAAAACTGCATTTTGAACACAACTGCAGTGCTTGATACTCCTAAGGAATATTAGTTCAATAACAGGTTGAATTTGGAGCAAGAACAGATTTGATTTGGTGGCAAAAAGCCAGTTTCTGATGTTTGCAGTACAGTTTTGGACCTCAAATGTGAGGTTGAATACCTAAACTCATCTTTTTCTGACTCTAGGTGAGACTGGTATTGGCAAGTCTACCTTGATGGATACTCTGTTCAATACCAACTTTGAGAACTTTGAGTCATCCCACTTTGAGCCTCAGGTGAAGCTCCGTGCTCAGACCTATGACCTGCATGAGAGTAACGTCAGACTACGTCTCACCGTGGTCAACACCGTGGGCTTCGGAGACCAAATGAACAAACAAGAGAGGTGGGAGGAGGAGAGTGTGTGCAGTAGTGTTACTGAAGAGAGGTGGTCTTAAAGTGCGATCAGCAGAGTTGGAGTAATGAGTGAATGCGACTAAAGACTTCTATTTTTAATTTACTGCCACTGTGAACTAATCTTTGCCATTCATAAAACCAAAAATACTGATCAGGCTCATATGTCTTTACTGTAGCTATCAGCCAGTGGTGGACTACATTGACAGGCAGTTTGAGAGTTATCTGCAGGAGGAGCTAAAAATCAAGCGCTCTCTTCACAACTACCATGACTCGCGGGTCCATGCCTGCCTTTACTTCATCTCCCCATCAGGTCATTCACTCAAATCTTTGGACTTGGTCACCATGAAGAAACTAGACAGCAAGGTAGGTGAAAAATCCCTGTGTGTGGTAAAGAGTAGGGGTGCACAATTAATAGTTTTAAAGCTGCGTTAACCAATAACAGTAGCTAATACCACAACGTGATTTATTTCTGCTTCAGCTGCTATTCGGCACTAGGTGTATAAGGTAGGCAGTACAGGATCACACAGGAATCTAAATCGTGCTCACAAAACGATTTGTCGACACATCAGGTGGATGCACAATCATTGGCATTGTGGGATTTATAAAATACTACAGATCTATACTCCAGGAACACGAGTCATCATTTTGTGTCTAGTGTAGCATCACATGAATGTAACTTTTTTTTTTTTAACTATAATGTGACGACACATTGCACTGTGGGATCGTGATCAGAAAGTAGTGTACATAGCACAGGCACTATTGGTTTTGTTCTGTTGTGGGACTCTTCGAAGACACTTTGCATGGACAGTAAAGGCAGACAGTAGTGCCCTCAGATGGGAACATTACATGAAAACTAGTTGGAAACTGATGTGTATTTGAGTCACAGTGCGAGGTTCTTTGAAAGGGACTATACTGTTGTTGCTTCTAGTCTTAGAAACACTTCCCTTAAAGTGGTCAGAAACTTTCCCATGCTCTGTGTGTAGTGACTTTGTGTTTTTTGTGTGTTTGTGCGATTTCATTGCTCTGGAGTGTCAGCAACTCTGGATTTGCACGCTGAGTGGAGTAGAAAAAGCAGTGGAATGTTGTAATCACATCACGCACTCACACTTGAGTTGTCCTTTTGTGTCACTGTACAGAAACAAACACACACAGAAAGAGCTATTTGTTGAATGTGAAGCACTGACAGGGAGACAGTCACTCATTCAGACAGCTGTTGCAACAAATGTCCTGGCACTGTTGTGTTTTATCTGCTGGGATCAGTGTGTGTCTGTATGTGTGTGGGGTCTGGCCCAGAAGCTTGTTGAGTGACAGCGACTCATTTCCAGCTCCTCTTTGGTACGATAAGATGACAGACAGTCCCACAGTAACGTGGGATGACTTTGACAGCAGAGTGGGCTGCTGGGGCAGAAATAACATCTGTAAACTTGGTTTATGTAATACTTTTCTAAAAACAGTTTTTAAACATTTAGACAAAGTAACAAAAACAACTGCTGTTGGAATTTGACATTTTTGTTGAATTGTACTCTCCTGTGCCAGAGTCAGACTAATGGATGCCATTTTAATGTGTGTGCATGTAGTTATATAATGCAGTGCAGTTAGCCTGCTATAGCCAAGTAACAAGATGCCTGTGGTTTCAGGAGCTACTCAGTTCAAAGCATTGGGAAGTTATCCTGACTAATTTTGGCTTAACGATTTCAAACAAGTCCGCATTCAGATTCACAGTAAATATTATTTGTGGCCACAGGCCAAGTGGATTACAGCTTGATGCATCAAAGTTTTGGCATCCATGATTAGTGACTGATATCATAGCTAATGGAAACAGTCTATTTTAACTATAAGACCAAAGGTGAAATAATGTGAAATTTTCCTTTAACGTACAAGAAGAAAACCCAGTGGTTTCATCGTCTTACTCACTGCTGTTATCAAAACACTTCAAGCAGAGTGAGTCATCCAAAGCTACTGCCTAAAGAATTAAAATGATCAAGTACTCCCTTGAGTTGTTTAGTGGCAGTATTTAGTGTGAGCTGTCATAGTTTTGTGTAGCAAGAACATTGCTTATTAATTGAGATGAAGATCTGGCTAAATAGACAAGTGAAGTGTGATGAAAAAATTGAATGTGAATATAATACAGTAAATGTTTTTGCCTTATTTTAATATTATATGTAATAAAATATGCATTTGCAGCCTGCATATTGTAAACAATGAAAGCTGAGGAAGAAAAACATGGTGAATATCTTGTCCCATCTTGCTGTAGGTGAACATCATCCCAGTGATTGCCAAGGCTGACACTATCAGTAAGAGTGAGCTACACAAGTTCAAGATCAAAATCATGAGTGAGCTGGTCAGCAATGGCGTCCAGATCTACCAGTTCCCGCTGGATGATGAGACCGTAGCCAAAGTCAACACTACGATGAACGTAAGAACACATTCACATATTTTGAAGTAGAGCACCACAGAGTCTCTCATAGTTTTCCCACCAGGGTTCATACATTGAGGAACTCAGTAATGTTATTTGCCCTTACTAATTTTCAATACAATTGCATCGAGTATTTTAGGTAAAATAGTTTTGTGTGTGTGGATTTTCAAATTCACAGAAATTGTTCAGATATACACTGATCTGCCACAACATTAATGCCACCTGCCTAATATTGTGTAGGTTTCCCTCTTGCTGACAAAACAGCTCTGACCCATCGAGGCATGCACAAGACCACTGAAAGTGTCCTCTGGTGTTTGGCACCAAGATGTCAGCAGCAGATCCTTTAACTCCTGTATGTTTTGAGGTGGGGCCTCCAAGGATCTGACTTGTTTGTCCAGCAAATCCCACAGATGTTTGATCAGACTGAGATCTGGAGAATCTGGGGAATCTGGAGGCCAAGGCAGTACCCTGAATGCTTAGTCTTGTTCCTCAAACCATTTCTGAACCATTTTGCAATGTGACAGGTGCACATTATGCTGCTGAAAGAGGCCAATGCCATCAGGGCATGTTGATGTGAAGGGGTGTACTTGGTCTGCATAAATGTTTAGGTACGTGGTACGGATCCTGCCATTCATCTAAATCGGTGATTCTCAATTATTTTCTGTTACCCAGGGTCACACGCGCCCCCCCCGGCATCGCTCCGAGCCCCCCTCCAGGGGGGCACGCCCCACTATTTGAGAAGCACTGATCTAAATGATTGGCAGGACCCAGTGTTTACCAGAAGAATATTGGCCCTGGTTAACCTCCCCCACACTCTGACTAGTCTGCAGCTATGCAGCACCATACTGTATGTATAGGCTGCGATGCACTGTGTGTTCTGACATCTTTCTGGTATAACCAGCATGATGTTTTTCAGCAGTTTTTGCTACAGTAGCTCTTCTCTGGGATCAGACATGGGCTAACCTTCACTCTCCATGTGCATCGCTTAGCCTTGGGCACCCATGACTATCCAGCAAGACCTGCAGTGTGGGAGATGCTCTGACCCAGTTGTTAGCCATTACAATTTGACTTTTGTCAGAGTCAATCAGATCCTTAAGTTTCCACACTTTTCCTGCACATCAACTTTAAGAACTGATTGTCCACTTGCTGCCTAATATATCCCACCTCTTGACAGGTACCACTGTAACCAGATAATCAGTGTTATTAACTTCACCTGCCACTTGTTTTACTGGTGTGGCTGATCAGTGTATTCCCATTGGTGTGTGGTTTGATTTATTTCACTTGCAGCTAAAGTATTAAAATGCATCTTAAACAAGCAAACCAGCACTGTACTTGTGTTTTGTGTTAGGTTGAATTGCTGAGAGAGTTGGTGTAAATGACATGCTGTGACTTAATTTTCAAATTTACATGTTATACCTATAACAAGAAAATCGTTTAGCAACTGTAGTGTGAATCTCACCATGTCTTCTTTTCACAGTTTATTTACAACTATACACGTACTGTAAATTGTTCTCATAGGGTCATTTGCCATTTGCTGTGGTAGGCAGCACAGAGGAAGTCTCCATTGGCAATAAGATGGTGAAAGCTCGTCAGTATCCCTGGGGGGTAGTACAAGGTAAGATGGATCACTGTGAGGTGTATTTATACACATCTGTTAATCCCTTCGGACCTAATTTTATTATACACAAAGGTATTCTCACACTTGCCTCAAGCAGATTTGACTGTTGTGAAAGAGCTCAACACTGAAGTTTTGAAATCGGCACATTCCTGTTTAGTGGGGTTATCTTGTAAAAACCTGCACTGAAACCAGCCCTGTCCTTTTTTTTTAAGCAGTCTGCAACCTACAGTAAAAAAAAACAAAACATCACTGTGTCAGTGAGGAGTTTGTCTGATCATGATTTAAAGGCTTTTCTAGCCTGACATAAAAAGATATGGAGATACAGAACACTTGAAATTAGAAAACATGCCAGCCAGACGCATAAGCTGACGACTTGTCTGTCTTTTGTGTGTGCATCAGTGGAGAACGAGAATCATTGTGACTTTGTGAAGCTGAGAGAGATGCTGATCTGTGTGAACATGGAAGACCTGAGGGAGCAGACACATACTCGCCACTATGAGCTGTACAGACGCTGCAAACTGGAGGAAATGGGATTCAAAGACACAGACCCAGAGTGCAAACCTGTCAGGTGAGCTGCCAGCTGCTCAACACCTGCATCCACAGGAAGAAAACAGACGACTGATCTGCGTTTATGTGTGTGCAGTTTGCAGCAGACCTACGTGGCCAAGCGGCAGGAGTTTCTGGTGGAGCTGCAAAAGAGAGAGGATGAGATGAGGCAGATGTTTGTGCAGAGGGTGAAGGAGAAAGAGGCCGAACTGAAGGAGGCTGAGAGAGAGGTACGTAGACAGGTGAACATTCAAGTGGAAAAGTCACCTAAAAAAAAGCTGCCACTAGGTGCTTTGTCTTTGGCCCTTGCTATTATTATTTTAATGTCTTCCATTTGTTGCTGATCTGTAAACCCTAAATCAACGGTACATGTCCTTTTGCAAGCACACAGCTAGTCAGTTTTTTTTCTCCTCTCCTTGGAAAATGTGACTTAATAGTATACTCCTATCTGAATAAATTCAGACTTGTTTTCCCTGTCAGATTTTGTTTTTCTCTCGTGCGTCGTCATAAAACGAAATGTCACCAGTGTTTCTGGTTTAACTTCACGAAATCAAAGTAACTTTTCTATAATTTCACATGTAACTTGGTTTTAGTATGAGAGAGTAAAGCTCACTATAAGTAAACAGTGCATTGACTCTGGGTATTAATTACAGTATGGCACTTAGACAGCCAGGGCTCTGCTGTTATTACTCAGATTATCTGTTGTGTGTATATATATTTCAGCTGCAGACCCGTTTTGAGCAGCTGAAGCGCCTTCATGCAGATGAGAAAGCTGCACTGGAGGAAAAGAAGAGACTCCTGGAGGAGGACCAGAGTTCCTTCAGCAAGAGACGAGCTGCGGCTCAACTCCTGCAGGCCCAGAGTCTCACTGCCAACGGCAAGAAGGACAAGGACCGCAAGAAGTAAGAGGCTACTGTGAAAGCTAATGCCGATGAGGGGTGTGTTAAGATATGTTATAAAAATGAATATCTCAGCTGACTGTTGTAAATCTGTCTCTCCTGTTCTTTTAGTTCTGGCTTCATGTGAAGACGTTGACGCCCACTCCACTACGACCAGTATAACCAGTGACATGCTGCTCACATCCTTTCCAGCCCTTTGTGGCCTGTCTCAGACACTAACTAGGAAAACCCCTCACAAACCAGCAGTGTGTGTGAGTTTGAGTTTAATTCTCAGCCAAAGTTTGACTGTACCTAAAGTGTACACTTCTCCTCAATGGTATTTTTAATCTTCTTTGGGGGTTTTATACCACTTTTTTATTAATATTTTATATTTATCCATTCATTTTTATATAAAACCTTTATTTTTCATATACCTCCTTTTGCCCAATGAATTTATCCTCACACAGTGTTCTCGATAGATGCTATACACAAATCAAAGGAGGTGAATAGGTACAAACAATATAATGTAAAGTTACATTTGACCTTTATGTCTGCCATATCTTTTAGTGTATAATAAAGGACTAAGTGTTTTGTAATGTACCAAACCAGTCTTATGACTTTTCTAATGGGACAAATATCTGTAGAGTCCTTTCATTCATTCTGTATCTGCATAATTACTTACAGTATGAACATCCAGTGACATGCTTTAGATACAGCATGTAATTGTAACTATATTTTGGCACCGTCTGTCTGTATGAAATATAGGAGTGGGAGAAAAAAATTGATTTACATTAGAAACGTGATTCATATCTTCAATTCTAAATAGATTTTGGTCACAATATTGACAGAACAAAAAAGCTAAACTCAACTCAGTACTCTAAGTCCTGCATTCAAGCTATTGCTTAAAAGCACAAAAGTATTAGCATCAAAATATAACCTCAAGTACTAAATGTAAAAGTACTCATGCAGATTGGCACCTTTATATTATTGGATTATAATTATTGCTCCATTACTGTGTTCATCCCATTGGATGGTGCAGGTGGTGACGGTGTAGCTAATTTGAATAACCTTATATACTTATAAGTACTTAACATGCTGCCAAAGATTCCTACCCCTAATGAAACAGGCAGCAGAGTTCTATTATTTATCACACAGTTGATGACACAGATACTAGTGAGAAGCCGAGACGAGCAGGTCATTAATAAATAATTAAATGTACAGTAAGCGATGTTTTGATCAGCATCTGTACAAATCCACAACTGGTTTCAGTTAGGGTTTTGTAACCGCTGCATTTCCACCATCGGAACCTAACAAGCAGTCTACCCTGTACTTCCCTTAACCATCATTAAGCCTCTGGGGTTGATGCAGACCATCCTGCTTTGTTTTTCCTACTGTATTTTCTCTCTGTCGGTCCTGTAGCGGAGGGAGGGGCTGCTCTTCTCTCACACCCACAGTCAGCTGTGTGTTTTCACATGAAGCTTGTAATGCTAATGCTTGAGGTGTGAAGACACGGACATTTAAGATCACCGGTGACTGCTCTGTGTGCACGCATCCCCTTCCCCATTGCAATCTTGGTACTTGATTTTAGTACTACCTCCTGAGGAGTGCCAAAATTTAGCTTCCAAAGCGGGTGCACCATAGTAGAAACAAATGCAGAGCCCGTGACGAGTGTGACATGTTTCGGTAGGCTCCTATAATGGACAAACTGGATGGTGAGGAAGGGGAACGTGAGGGAAATTTTATTGAATGTGACATTATGGGTAATGAATTAGAATCATTGTCTATGCCTTTAAGAATTCAACTGCAAAATAAGTTTTAAGATCCATCACTTTAGTCTCTTTTTGCTGGTTTCTGGCAGCGCTGCCACTGGAGTGAGAAGAAACATAGTTCATTAGCCCTACACACAAAAGCCATGGGAACTTTGAATAGAGCATTACAGAGTATTTACTCCACAGAGACCTGCATGTTGTTTGAATGCCAAATATGCCATTTATTGTAACAGATATGCAGGTAGATCCAGCAGTGTTGCAGAATCCTTGTCTGAAAAGGGCATGTTTTGTATCTATAATCACCTCTGAAGGTTGATTTAGTAGATTAAGAGCTGTCATAAGCATTTTCACAGGGCATTGTAATTCTGTAATATCGGATTTGTTTCCTTGCACTTCCTTGATGCTATCAGCCTTTGTGAGCCTACCAGCATTACAAAAATCTGGAGCTGTCGCACTGGGGAGAAGGGAGAGTTACTTCTGAACATTCAACTTCTCCAGTACATGTAACCACACACACACACACACACACACACTTTATATTGCTCCTCTAGGTTTTCTAATGAGACAGCAGAAGTTTACAGACCAGTGTGTCTTGAAAGAACTGACTCACAAAACCGTTTAAGGGACAAAAGGAACAGGGGCAGGGATGCGTTTGTGAATATATTTTAAGCATTTTTAAACTTCCCTCTGGAGTCACTATAAGACAGGGTTTGATACCTCAGTGGATTAAACCAGAGGCGCTGGTTTCCAAGTTCCAAACAAACATGTAATCACAAACACTGCCACTCTATATTTACACTAGTGCTCACAATGTGTTAGTGCCTTATGTGTGAAGCTCACTTTAGAAACACAATATCAAAGGAAATACTGATGTCTAATGCAGTAAAGCTTGCCTGACATGTTTGTACTACACTTGTAAGGAGTAAACAGTGTTGTGTGTGAGCTGTTTTCCTTCTTTATAAATAAATCTTTGTATTTTTGCCATGATACACTATACTTGTCTGTTTGTTGTGTCACAAAATGTCTAAACACTGAATGCCAGCCACTACAGATGCGCAGAGAAGTGTGCACGTAAAGCTAAAATGCTGCAAATATGTTAAAGCTTTGACTAAAAATCATTGGTACAGCTTTGATTTTAGTGCATTTTCTTTTCATACAGGTTTATCACAAAAATATTGGCCCCAATATCTGATCAACATGTGTTAAGAAATTACATTTTATTAAAGGCTTTCTCCATTTTAAAGAAAACCACATATTCAATTACTAACAGATGCCCTGTGGATTTTTTATAAACATTTGTTTATTACATTACAAACATTCTGTGTTTCCTCCTGAGCCACAAGGTGTGTGTACTTGAAGTCAGACACAGTAGAGGTCCTTTTGTGGTTTTTAAGTTGATGAAATAAAACTAGTGCATTGACATTCTAATACATTTTTAATGTCTGTTTGGTGCAGGGGATGACTGACAATTGGCTTTTGAAGTGAGATGATGTAAATATGTGGAGAAGTATAGAGGTGGAAAGTTGTATTTATTCAAGTACTGTACTTAAGTACAATTGTATCTATACTTGACTTTTTACTTTCTGATACTTCAACTTCTGTTATGGTTGAGTCCCCCTCACCAGGAGGGTGACGGGGGAACTGAGGTAGGACTCAATGTGCAGACCCAGGTGCTAGTGGGAAAAAAAAGGTGGTTTAATGGAAAAATACAAAGTAACAACGTAACAGAGTCAATGTATATACACAACCGGGGTTGGATAGTAAGGCTGAGGAGACCAGGACGAGCAGAGGAGTAGACGGAACATCAGCAGGGGAACCAGGAGAGTAGAGGACTAGGACAGACAGGTGAGTAGACAGAACAACCAGGATGATTGGCGAACAAAAAAGAAATCCACAGCACAGGAACTGCCAGCGTGGAAATCAAATAGACGTATGACAAAAATACATATATTTAGTTACTTAAATAAGAAAGGAACAGTAATCATAGGAATGCGCCTCAGCTGTGTGCTACAACCAACAAGTCACTGATTATTGAAGGCAACACAGCTGAGGCGCCAATCCCGCAGGACGAGAGAGAGAAAGCAAGAAGAGAGGCAGGCCGTGCCGAGTGGACCTGACAACTTCACTACAGTTCAGAGGCAAATATTGTAGTTTTTAGTCCACTGCATTTGTTTAACTTTAGTTTCTAGTTACATTTCAGAATCAGATTAATAAAATAAAATACACACATTGTTCATTTAATTTATCTTTTGATTCTGTAATAATTAGTATATTTTTACATAGGTTTGACACCTTAACATTATCTTTATCTTTAACATTATAAATATGGTGGCATGCTATCATTACAGTTTGTGTTCACATTGTGAACACCACATGGGCATTATAGCCCATATACCTTTAAGTGCCGGTTCAATGCGGGCCTTTCATAAAACCTAACTAAAAGAATCCATCTCTAATTTGCATATGCTGCAACACATACCACTGTTGGACATTTTAGTGCCCAGCCCACAGTTAACAGCCAGCAGTAGCTTTATGTATATTTGAATGCTAATATTTTGGCTTACATCCTGTCCGGGTGCAAAATAGCACACAATCAAGGAGGATAGAGGTGGTTAAATACCAGAACCTTTTGCATAACTGCAGGGGTAAAGGATGGCTAGCATGGCTATTCCCAGCTGAGGCTGGCTGTAGAGGATTTCCTGCACAGTCACTATAGACAATTCTCGCTATTAGAATGGTGGGAAATGCCTCCCTCATCCTGCAATGGGGGAGGCAGCATAAAGAGACTATGGAAGCCAGGAGGAGGAGATGGGCAGGGGATTTGGCCACCACTGCTGACCCACCAACAGGAAATTGTTGTGGTTTAGGGTCGAAACACCCAGACCGACATCCAGGCACAGACAGTGATTCTAATTCAGTGAATGTTGGACACGACCTGATGACATCAATTCCTCCTGGCCAAGGCTACATTCACCAAAGGTGAATTAAGTAACATAGTGGATGCAGGACTTTTACTTGTAGTAGAGTATTTTACACTAAGGTATTGCTACTTTTACTTAAGTAAACAACCTGAGCACTTCTTCCATCACTGGAGAATGAGGGCTTTGGCCTTCTGTTTTGAACACTACATTAAAACAATGGAGCAAATCTAAAACTGAATTTGCAAACTGCTTTAAGAGCCACAGACTTGTTTCATTCCATTCCTGTGACTTATTTTAAAATATAGAGACAGCTACATTTATTTCCTTTTTATAGGAAGGAAAAATGACAGAATGATTTCCCCTTTGGTTTAGAGAAAGATTTAGGAGACTGTAGCTACTTAACATCGTCCCTGCATGCCCATTTTGAACACACACACACACACACACACACACACATTCCTGTATGAGCAGCGAGGTGAGGTCCAGGTAAATGTACATTGGGAGTGAGGACCACCATTTCTGCTATACTTACAGACAAATGCATGCTACATTTCAACACTAGAGGGCTCACTGACTCCCATTTTCACCTCAGCTTATTGAAAAATCACAGGGAAAAAGTAAGCATTCAACCACTGGAGTGAGGACCTTTTGATGGGGGACGCTATTGTGCTTGCTTCTTAGTAGATGATTTTAATTATCTTTGTTTTTTAGTTTTGTTCCCCTTTAGCTTTCAGTCATTCTTGGCTACCATTTCAGGTTTTAGCATAAAGTATTCAAATATCATACAAGTCTTTAAATAGTATTTTAATTTAGACATCTATATAATATATCTTTGAAAAGAATTGCACTCTTTGGGGATCATAGATAAGCAAAATGCCTACATGAACATTGTGACTATAGACCAGGCTAT